GGGCCGGGGAGGCAGGGCGCGCGGGCCGCGGTCGTGCGCGGCGCGCGGGCTCCGGCGCCTTCTCCAACCTGCTGGGTCCTCAGCATCCTCCTCCCGCTCCTCCTAAGCACCCCCCTCCCAGTCCCCACCCCATCACGCCCCACCCGCGGGGACGGGGCCTCAGGAATTCAGGGGAGTGGCTGTGGGGGCGCGTCGCGTCTCCCAGCTCGGCCAGCCCCTCTTTCAAGACATGGTCTGATCCCCATTGTAAAAGCTGAGCCCCTAGAGGAGCGAGTGGTGTTCCCGGCTCCGGGCTGCAGGGATCTCTGGGTGCTGAAGCTTTTGCATTATTGCTGGGTGGGGCTAGGAGGGCCCCGAATTGGGGGGAAGTGAGGGTGGTGGTGGTGGGGAGGAGGACCCGAGGTGGGGAGAAGACTTGGGGGTGGGTGGGGGGAGTCTGTGCGAGACTATGGGGAAGGACCAGGAGCTGCTGGAAGCTGCTCGAACTGGAAATGTGGCTCTGGTGGAGAAACTCCTGTCTGGCAGGAAAGGAGGGATCCTGGGCGGTGGATCCGGACCCCTACCCCTGTCTAATCTGCTAAGGTAAGGACGGGGACCAGCTCCCCGATTGCATACCTCGCTATGCGTTGTGATGGATACGTTCTCCTCCTCAGGATACTTGCACCTGGTGGCTGCCAGCGATTCATTCTTAAATTAGGTAGGAAAACAGGCTGTGTGCATGCAGAGGGAGCATGAGTCTCCCAGTCAGGTGGATGCCATAGAGTCTTTGAGTAATTTTAAAATAGCCTTCCATCAATGCGTCAGTTGCTACTTTCCCCCCTCCCTGAGCTGTGGTGCGGAACTTGGACATGTACTAGTGTCGCTTGAAGAAAATCGCCTTTCCACTCGCTTGCCATCATGGCTTATTACATGTTTCCAGCTCCAAATCCAGCCTTTTTTTTCCTTTTCCTAAATTCCTTTTTTTTTTGTCTATTCAAATGGAATTGGCAGAGAAACTGCAGCATGCATGCAACCAGCCTGCAAAAAGCCACAGCCTTTGGTCGCTGCTCCCTTCTCTTGCAGAAGGCATTTGCTGTGCGGTGGGGTGGTGATCCCACAAAATGAGGAAAGTGAACCGTCTGGTGAGATGTCACCGTCCAGGGCGCGGGTAAAACTTGCTGGGCCAGGCTGGGCAGCCCCAGCAAGACTGCCAGCTCTTTGGACACAGCTGAGTGAAACTTGGTGGTTCTACCTCACGATAAAGGGTGGCAGATGGGGATGTTATAGGGTTTATAGTAGAGACCCTTTGATGTGAAGATGTTGCAGGTGAGATTAAGATTACATGGGGAATTTTCCTCAAATGACATTAAAAAATATATGTCAAGGTCTTTATCCAGCAGGCGCAGTGCCTTAGAAATAGGATTGATGAGCCTGTGTGAGAAACTATTAACTATTAAGTGGAAATGAGCAAATGGAATTATAGGAGCGGGAGGAGCCTTAAGTATAAAATAGAGAACCTGCCAGGAAAAGGTCTCTAGATTCTGAGATTTTGGCTATTCAATTTATCCTGGGCAGTTTTTTTTTTTAGAAGTGGGGGTGTCAGTCATTATTCATGCTGTCACCCTTAAACATACCATAAGCAATGCAAGTATACTTGTAAAGATTTTTAACAAGTCCGGCAGGTTTTCTTGGTTTTGATAAGAGTACCCAGTGCTACGCTTGACAAATACTTAATACAAACTTTGGGGCGCTAGCATTGTGATCTTTACCCAAGTTCCCATATGTTGCCAGTGGTCAGACAATGCAATTACAATATTGCCTAATGAGGGAAATGAAAACAGTACAATGAAAGAAATTAGTTGGAGAAGAGTTGATGGGAATTTAAAAGTTTTATGTATTTGTTGATGGTGGCAAGTTATGGCAATGACAGTTCACATCACTACAAGGAGTATTATGGGACATTTTTAAAATGAAAGGTCTCAGAAGTGATAGCATTTGCCTGTACTCCCTTACTAAATAGTCTTCATTTTCAAACACAAGTTGGACCACGTGTGCCTATTTGAGAATGCATTTCTGATAGTTGCCCTAAGGCTTGGGAAATTGATGTTTTTTGGTAATAGGTGTGTTTTTTTTGGTAATAGGTTTATTTGGTTTATGCTTTTAAGTTGCAGGTAAAGGGCATATTTTTGGCTAGTGGATCCCAATCAGTGATAAAAGTAATGGCTTGAAAGAGGCTTGTACAAACAGGCAGTGCCTTATGGGAAATGCAGAAGAATTCACCGAGAACACACAAAATTTGTTAAGATGAGGGATGATTTTATAAGACTCTCTTTGTGACATCTCTTGAAGGCCAGCTTCCTTTAAGCATTCTTCCCACCTTTTTTGGTAAAGTACTTGGTGGCTCAGAGGGTAAGCACTCAGCTGCTAATAGATAATAGAAAGGTTGGTGAATCGAACCCACTGGATGCTTCTCCGTGCGAGAATGATGTGGCAGTCCGTGTCTGCAAAGCTCCACAGCCCTCGTAATCCCATGAGGCAGTTCGGCTTCGTTGTCTTAGGCTTGTTGAGTTAGAATGGACTCAATGACAGTGTTTTGGGGTTCCCATTTTTATAGAAAGAGCTTACCATCGCTTCCAGGAGTAAAATCCCAACTGATTAATGGTAAAGAGACCTTAACTAAAACATCCAAGTTAAAAGAGGAGCTGATACCAAGGGCTCAAGTAGAAAGAAATTGTTTTGGAGATGATGATGGCAACCTATTGATGGATGGAATGTTATAAGAGCAGTAAGAGCCCCAAATAAAATGATTTTTAAAAAATAATAAAATATTCAAATTGTGACTTAATTTGACTTGTTTCGTCAGAGGTTAGCAGCGGTAGAATGCATGTAGAAAACAAGAAAACATAGGCCTGGGGCCATTAGAGTAGTTTGAACCAAGTTGTAAGACTGACCAGCAGAACCAGGAGTCTTTCAGCATGCACTTGGTGTCTCCCATAGAGAAGAAAGAGTGAGAGAAACTGCAAGTGGAAATTGTATTCTTTGGGTGGTTCTCCACATAACGTGGAATTTATTAGAGGACGCATCTCATTTCTCTGTCACTTTGTCACAAGTGAATGCCATCAGAAATCAATGTACAGAATGATAGAAAACGTGCTGCTTCACATCAAATAGAGCAGCACTGGGAGCTTTTTAATATTTTGGAGTGAGTTATGGAATAGGCTTAGCACGCCCCCTCCCCATGTTACCTGTGTGGTGTGCTGAGCCTATCAGCCACTGTGCTAAATGCTTGCCGTATCATTTCATTCAGTTCCCATATCACTCTGAAGAAACCCACCCTCATTTCACAGAGGGCCCAGGAGAGAGAAAGACGAAAACGTTCCCCAAGGTCACTCAATTAGGAACAACAGAGGTTAGAAATTCTTCCTTTTTAAAAGTTTTATTGGCACTTCATCCATATATCAATTCATTAGTTCAACTGTATCAAGAATCAATTTTAGAATTTTTTCTCTGTACTCATTGTTATTCATGCAATTTTTTTCAGTTTACGCAAAAACTTACACAACACAACATTCACCAACTCAATAACTTCTATTGGGAAATCCTATGATTTAAATTTGCTCTACCGTTCCTTCTGTACCATTCATTAAATACACTTTATTCATAAAGTGTAAGATTCATAGACAATTTGGATAGCCCAGTGTGCAATTTTTTTCTCCAGGAATAATAACAGTATTATTAATGATTAAAGCAGATCTCATGATGGCCCTTTAAGGGATCATTAGATAAGAACTCTTTTGAAGGTATTTTGGTGTTGTACAACCTACAAACTGAGCAGTAGTGTGTTTCAGTGACATGATAATTTTTAACAAAAGCAAAAATAAACTTGGATGAATATTTTTAAAATCCCTCCATCCTTCCTTTACTCCTCTATAAAGTGTGTGTGGGTATTGGGAAGCGGAGGGGGGGGGGTACTTGTAGTGCCTGCTCTAAGGTCTATGAAATACCCCAGCCCACTGCCTGTCTTCAGTATGATCCTGACTCAGAGTGATCCTATAAGACAGGGTAGAATTTCCTCACAGGGTTTCCAAGGCTGTATACTTTTATCAAAGCCGATTGCCCCATCCTGAGATTCATCCGCTTTTCAGATAAGCCTTTAAGTCATCTTCTGAGTACAGGCACTTCCTCTGCTGCATCCCTTACACATTAGACTTGTTTTTTTGGTAATAGGTCTATTTAAAAAAAAATTCTTTTTGTTGAACTGAAAACCACCTCCATGCTACTCCCACAAATTGGCACTAGTTGCAATATGGGGCAGTACAGTAGGCTTTCCCTACCTGTCAAAACAGTTCTGGTGGCGTACTGTTTCTTAGAAACTTCCTCTCACCTCCACCCCAGGGAAGTACTGCCATTTTTTCTTCCTTTTGTCATGTGGCAGGTGTTATGGACTTGTATTTTCACTACCCAACTTTACCTCCTGTTCACACTCAATTTTTTTGATGGCCTTCTTAAAATGAGTCCAGAAATGAACAAAATGCATTAGGAATTGTTTGAATAACTGATCCCCAACCAAGCCCATTGTTATTGAGTTGATTCTGATTCATGCGTCCAATATAGTGTTTTTGAGACTGTCCATCTTTATGGGAGCAGACAACTCATTTATTTCCCTTGGAGTGGCTGGTGGGTTTGAATGGCCAACCTTGCAATTAGCATCAGTTCAATGCTGAACTCACAGTGTCTAATATATGGAGGCTTGATCTCTGTTGAGTTTTAAAAAGCAGGTAACAAAACATCATTCCTGCAATGATTATATATTTTGTAAAAACATCACCATCAAACATATCCACATATATGCATAACAGAAGAAAATGCTGCCTGATGGGGTCCTGCATCATCCTCACCATTGTTGCTAGGTTGTGGACCAGCGTTGTTGACACTGAGCCACCCATCTCCTTGAGGGTCTTGTTGACTGACCTTACCAAGCAAGATGAACTTCTCCAGGAACTGGTCCCTCCTGACAGTGTGTCCAAAGCATCTGAGACAAAATCTCATCATCTTTCCTTCTAAGGCACATTCTGTCTGCGTTTCTCTCAAGACATATTTGTCCATTCTTCTGACATTTCGTGGCATCATTAATAATCTTTGCCAACATCCTAAGGCAAATGTGTGAGTTTTTCTTCAGACTTCCTTATTCATTTTCCAGCCTTCAGAAGCACAAAAAGTGACTGAAAATGCCCTGGCTTGGATCAGGTGCACCTTAGTCCTGTAAGTGACATATTTGCTGCCTAACACTTTAAAGAGATCTTGTAAATTTGCTTAATGCAATGTATCATTCTATTTCTTGACTGCTGCCTCCGTGGTCATTGACTGTGGATCTAAGTAAAATGAAATCCTTGACAAATTCAGTCCTTTCTCTCTGTTTATTATGATGTTGTTTTTTGGTCCGGTTGTGAGGAATTTGGTTTTTGTTACGTTGACATGGAGCCTTGGTGGCTTAATGGGATACACACTGAACTGCGAATCAGAAGACCATTGGTTTGAACCCGGCAGTTGCTCTGTGGGGCAGAGATGAGGCTGTTTCTTCCCATAAGGATTTAAAATCTTGG